AACTTATGAATTATGAAGGGTTCATAAGGGAGGGGGAATGGGGAGGGAGGGGGGAAATTAGCAACTGATATTAGGGGCTAGAGTGGGAGGCAAATGTTTTGAGAATAATGAGGGCAACAAATGTGCATATGTGCTTGACACAATGGATGTATGTATGGATTGTGATGAGAATTGTACAAGCCCCCAGTAAAATAATTTTTAAAAAACAGAAAAGCCTGTAAATAGTTCAAGGTCTGTTTGTTGATATTTAGGATTGTTATCCAGTTGAGTCTGATGGGGTGGCACGCTCTGGCCCCAAAATCTTATTTTTGGTATTCCTTCGGGGCTTTGTTGCTGTGCTCCCCTTGCTGGTCTGTTGCACGCCTTGTGTTCTGCCTCCATGTCGTAGGGTCAGACCGGGTGCAATTCCCACACTGTCTCCAGTGTTGTGCCCCGGAGGGCTATGAGTCAGTGAGGGATGTTGTGTCTCATCGTGGGCCCCGCCATATGGTCTTCTCCAGCTCTTATCTCTTATACCTGTGTACAAGCTCTGGTCTAATCTGATGTGAGAAGCAGCACTGGGGTCATGATAGCGGGGGTTGAGGAAGCCTCAAGGACCCAGAGAAATATTGTGTTTCATTGGTGCTTTACTCCACCCTGGTTGACTCATCCCTTCCCTGTGGCCCTTCTGTGAGGGGATGTCCCATTGTCTACAGGGCTTTGGGTCTCTGCTCTGAACACCACCCCCCCTAGTTCTCAATGATATGTTTTTGTTTGTTATCGGTCTTCTGATGCCTGTTACCCAGTCCTTATACTTCATGATTGCACCAGCTGATGTGCTTCTTCCATGTGGGCTTGTTGCTTCTTTGCTGGATGGCTGCTTGTTTAACTTCAAACCTTTAAGACCCCAGAAGCTGTATCTTTTAACAGCCAGGCACCGTCCGCTTTCTTCACATTTTCTTGTGCACCCATTTCGTCTTCTGATTGTTGGGAGGGTGAACATCATGGAATGCCACTTTGTCAGAACAGTGTTCTTGTGTTGAGGGAGGATATGAGCAGAGGCCTGAAGTCCATCCACTCCCTCAGTGTATTGTCATATGTATGCCATATGTACATAGTGTACTGCCATATGTACACAGGCCAATAACTCTATTTTTATGGATTTATACGTGTACACATCTATGCTTATACCTCTAGCCATAGCTTTGCTTCCTGGGTCATTCCTGTTTCCTTTTACCTTTCTCCTACCCCACCATCATGTTCTCCCTACTTCTGCCTCTTGGTATTTCCTCTCAGCTAGATTGCTATTGTTCCAGTACTTCCAGGATCTCTACATCCCTCTTTTAAAATTCCCTAAACGTTCCCATCTATGGAGTATTTTGTTCACTGCACCTTTCCCAGCCACCTTCTTCCCCCTAGTCCCTCTGGGGCCATTTGTCCCATTGCTTTCTTCTCAAGCTTGCTTCCCATGCCTGTCTTATATAAGTAGACAAACCAACAATGACATAGACCAAAAAAAAAAAAAGATTGAAAAAAGGGAAAAAACAAATAACTCCAGGCCTGTCCACTGACTTTTATGACTCTCTCCACTGGTCTTGGGGCAATTCCGGGAGCTGCCCCCTCCTAGCCTGAAGTCTATTTGGAGCCTCTTTGGCGTTACTTGCTCCTATCGCTGATGTTATGTTCCTTTCTCGGTTTGGCCTGGTGTGTGTGTGTATGGGGGGGGGCGTGTTTCAGACCACACTACCTCCCCGCCATGTCCACAGTATTATCCTCTTGTCACAGTATGCTCCAGTAAGGTGACAAGTCATGAGCTGTTGTTGACCCTAGTCCTCCCTGTGCCTTAGCAGCTCTGTGCAGGAACACCGTCCTTCAGGTTCGGTGTGTCATTATGGGTTCTCAACCTACCATCCCTTCTTTTTCCATCTTGGTTTGCTTGTGTGGGGGCACGGTGTGGCGGCCCCTCTCCCCAACTTGTAGGTGTAGTATTGTTCTCTGCCACACATACTTCTAGGGGTCAGTTTGGTTCTGGTTGGGGCCAGGCCTGTAGCTCAATCTTTTCATGCATTCCTCCACGTAGTTACGTTTCCCTCAGGGTTTGGTGCACCATGGTGGGGTCTGTATGCACACCTCCAATTCTGTGAACTTAACCAAACTCTCCTCCTGGGTCGATTAGTGCATCCCCATTCAATCATCTCACTTTTGCCCCAACCCTTTCCTCTTCCCTTTGTTGGATTAACATGTACCTTTTTTGGGTTTGGTCTGACCTCCTCCCTACTGCCTGTACCTCAACCCATCTATTTTGAGAAGTGGATTTTCTTCTACACCTACTCAGATTATGCTTACCTCAGGGGATTTATGTTGTACTTGTCCTTTTGTGATTGGCTGACTTTGCTGAGCATAATTTAAGAGGTCACTTATTTCCATAAATAGTTACAGCCTAGGAAACCTACAGGGCAGTTTGACCCTGCTCTATAGGATTTCTAGGAGTCATAATCGATTCATTGGCAGTAAGTTTGGATGTTTTTTTGTCATTGTTTAATGGCGAATGATAGACCCTATTCTTTTCATGTGCTTGTAGCCCATTTGGTTATCTATTGTGAGAAGACCCATTGAAAACTCAATTTATCTACAATAAGACATTCCAAATGTTTGTAATCATGTACTGAGGGTTTTAGAGGTAAAATTGCAGAAATCTCTGGGTTGGAAGGGCATACAGAGAGGCAATACTGGAGGAAATAGCATTTTGAAAATCCTGGAAGATTGACAGGTTAACATGGTAATATTCTCGACTGGATTCTCACAAACCAGAAAAAACTACCAAACCACTGAAGGTTCAGAGGGCACATTAACACCTGTGATTCCAGCAGGCTGGGCAGCAACCTCCCCAACCCTTCCCCAACCCCCACAGCTTGGTGAGACTCCATTGTTTCCATGAAGATGTAAGACCAGCAGCTGAGAAACAGCAGCTTCTTGGCTCCAAGTCCTGGAGCAGTAGGTAGGGGTGGGGGCTTATGGAAAGGGACTCTAATAATTGTCTATTCAACTGTGACCCTGAACTTCTAAGTGTATTCCACCTGGTAACCTAGGAAATATGAAGGTAGACCAATAACAGGCTTATCAAAAATGTGGCTTCTGGCCCCTAATGGTAAAAGTATCCACAGTCAAATGGGATAAAAAATCTAGAGAACACTGGCACTTTTCTAAGGAATCTGGGTGTGTGATGGTTAAGCATATGGCTGCTAACCTAAAAGTTGGTGGTTCACACTCATCTAGGGACACCGCATGTAAAGGATCTAGTTCTCTCTTCCTATTAAGACTGTAGCCTCGAAAACCCTATGGAGGCAATTCTGAATCATCACGAGCTCACCATGAGTTGAATATCAGCTCAGTAGCCCACAACAACCGGCATTTTCTAGCATGCTCAATTGTATGAAACACTGCAAGCAACAAAAGCTTTAGGTACAGATAAAGCTCATGAATTTATTACTTTTTTTACTGTTTCCCTGGGGTCTCTTTTGAGTTCCCTACAAGACATCAACCCTTTGCTCCTAGTAGGATGAGGTCAAATTATTAAGACCACACACATAAAGCCACAATCTCACTAGAGTTGCTCTTTTTCCACTATAACATATTCGTACATTAATGTAATGTGGTAAAAGAAAAAAAAAATCAAACCCGAGGCTTTTTATATTTATTTAACTTTATTGTAATTCAAAATTTGAAAACTGCAAAACACTTTATAGAAACACCTGAGGAATGTTTAGCTGGGCATAACATCTTCATACAAAGAATTTTAAAACAGATCATGTTTAAGTTAGAATCTTGTCCTTTAAAATGTAAAAAGTAACATGAATGGAACCACATATACCTAGCAAATAGTTGCATTCATATATAAAGCATATTTGACTTTTCTAAAATAAAAAAAAAACATTCTTCCCACTGGTATACATTTTATTGGCAACTACAACAAATGGCTAATACTATTAGCACAGATTCTCATTGCTTATCGGTATTACTACCCAAAGTTGTAGAAAAAACTAATAAACATTTAGCATCATTTCCCACTTTTTAACTTTGAAAACAAGTCCAAAAATGACAAGTTTGGATGAATTTGGCTTCCAAACTTTTGCATCAAAATGGCTCAAAACTAAACAAATTAACAAAAACATTGCATAGGACAGAGAACTTCCCTGTATGGAAACCAATCTATTGATTGTTTCTTATCCCCTGAAGAGTAACTGAGAGGTACTCGTGATAGCACACGATGCAGATATCTCTTACAAAAACCTAACTATACACATAGTTTACCATTACCTATGTGGCAGTGCAAAGTGCCATTTTCAATTCAAAAAGAAAAGATTTACTTTACTTGTATGTCTACCTACAGATATAGAATAAAATATAAATATGGTACAGTACCATGAGAAATAAACACATTAAAATATATATATCTCTTAAGAAACTGAACACGGGTATTTTTATATATAGATAGATGTGCATAATTAATGAGTAGTTAAGTGTGGAAGCTTAGCCAAAATATGAAGTCTTAAACTAACAGGCATTCTATTAAAAAATATAATCAGATGGCATTAAACTTGCAGTATAAACAGCTCCTGCATAAAATGATCATCCTATCTATTCTATAATTTATAAAAAAAACTGTTAAGAACACTTCACAAAAGCTTATAAGCTTGGGTTTTTTTCTTTAAATATGAACAAATATACTGAGAAATAACAGAAAGGGAAATCATTTATATGGCTATTCCCTTTCTGAAAGTTGGTAAAACATTTTTAAAAATCCATACATGTGAAATGTTTGATAGATGCTCTATAGTTGCACCCTAAAACTGTCTTCTAATGAAAAATTCTCACAGATTGATTGACTCTTTAAAAGCTTTAGCCCCTGATATTTTCCCTTTTGGAATTTAGCTGCTTTGGTTCTAGATATAAAATTAACCAAAAGCAAAGGTTTTTCCTCTTATCTCCTAAAATGAAGTACAATTTGTAAAATTTGGCATTAAACATATTCACAAAACTTAAATGTTAATCCAAAAATTAAAATACTTTTATAGGAAGATTGGACTGTAATGTATGCCTGCAATAAGGATCGTTCAGCAAAATAAAAATTGCTGCAAGTATGACATATTTTTAAATCTAAAAGTTACCAGTACACCTGAGAAAATATGTCAAATCTAAAGTTAGATAAACATTTTTTCAATGATATTTTTTCCCGTCTTTAAGCTTTTCAATGTAGTGGCACAGCTTTAATGCAGGCCCAAGCTTGAGGCCCAAGTATTTCATCACCATGTCACTCTTGAGTAGCAGCAGAGCCTTCCCATCAATTTCCTAGAGATCAGAAAATTATAAGGATTATCAAAAATTTAATTATAGGTTATTTTAAATGTCAGAACATGTAAAGCAAACTGCAGAAGGGCTGTACATTCATGATGTATATTCTGTGAATACTCAACTGTTTCATATAAATTATTAAAAATAAAACAGTGGAAAACTTGAGAATAAGTCAACAACTTTGAAGGGGAGATGGATTTCTGATGTTCATTACCTTTCTCAGAAGGGAATGTGACTTTGCTGACATCAAGGCAAACTGTCAATGCGCTTTATGTTAAAAGTTAATCAGATGCTAAAACTAATTACTTTAAGGGGTACATCGGATATTGGGCCACTCATTTAATTAATTAGAAAACACTAGAATATTACTTGATAGCTAGAAAGCATCTCTCTGAAATTACTTATTTTGATTTTCACAAGTTTTGGTTTTAATTGAAACTGCACTTCATCATGTATCACTGTCTGAAAAGACCAGAAATCCTTATATTACGATCTTTGTGAGACATCTTAATACTTTTTAACCAAGTATAACTAAGAAATTAGGCCTGGCCAGGTAACAGAAGATCACAAATCCTCAATAGAAGGTTAACAGAACTGAGCCAAATACAACTAGTGGCTGGATTCAATGGGTAGCATAATGAGGACACGCAAGTACAGCTTGTGGTTGCTCACTTTTGTTCATCACACACTGACTAGGGAGGTAGGAGCAGGATATGTGTACCTATCAATACAAAGAGGCTCCTGTCGACCCTGAGAGAGGCAATGACTACATCACCTGGGTGAAATAACCTTTTACATGTGGGGCAAGGGCAGTTAGGGTTTTCCCACCAACTATAATCATCAGTACAAACTGAAGGGTCCACACAGAGGTCAATTAAAGGCATTACAGTAGGGAAACCCTGAAACTCTGACAAAAGATACATTACATGTTCTCTGAAGAGATCTTCCAGGAGAGCTGTTGTCTTAGGATCTGTTTCTCTCATAAACTGTATTACTTCTTCCACAGACCAGCTAGAAGGTTCTTTAAAGAAGGTTTGTTTCATTGGATCAGGTCCAAATGTGTAACGCATACCTTCCAAGGGAGGGGGGGGAAAGACAAGTCATAGTTAACCTGATCAATACTCTGAATGCATTACGAGATAGAGAGTAATGGTCTCATGTCTGGAACCTTCATCCAATGAGACACAAAATACTAAGTGGAAAATCAGGTGGAAGCAAAAATAAAGGTGACCTGAAGACCTAAGCTTCCATTTGACCTTCCCCTAACAAAGCAGCTTCTGAAATTACCTTAAAGGTTCAAAGATCATTAAATATTGTGCAATCCACAGCGCCTCTCACTGCAAATGTAGTGAAACTTTGTTGCTTGGGTTAAATTAGGTTAATTTAATCAAGCCAATTACTCTTTAAGCATTTCAATTAATTTCCAGTATCAAGGTCTCTTCTTTCTGTGTTACATAGGTTAGGTGTACTTGACTTGTTTAACCTATATACTGGATAGCCCCTAAATTTATGGATTTATGATTAAATATATTTTCATTTTAATCAATGGCTTTCAACAATCCCTATTATTTTTAAGAATCAAATTAGTTCCTTTGCAAAATATCTACCATGTATTGAACACGGATGTTTTTTCCATCATTTTACTCTTAATAGTCCCATCTCTTATGGCCTAAAATGCTTACTGAAAAATTGAAGAAAACACGATTAATTTCTGCTTAGCTAAAGTCCAAAATAAGAGCTCTGGTGGCACAATGGTTACAAGGTCAGTAGTTTAAAACCAACAGATTCTCAGTGGGTGAAAGACAGGCTTTCCACTCCAGTAAACAGTGTCTTGGAAACTCACAAGGGAAGTTCTACACTGCCCTACAGGGCCACTTGAGTCAGAATTGAGTTGATGCCAGTGAACTTGTTTTTTGGTTTGAAGAGTCAGAAGTTACCTTGACATTACATTTACTCCCTCTTTCAAAGTTTAAATGCACAGCAATATATATTTTGGTTGAAAGTTTAGTTAGTGAACAAAATCATGTTAAAAAATCACTCAGGTAAACAATTTATATGTTCAAACCTTAAGAAATTGTAGCGGTGCTGTTCATAAACTTCTACTGAAATCTATCAAATATTCACTTATTCAACTGGAGTATTTGATTCCCTTAACGTTCCTCTATGATAAAGTGGTTCTTATCATCTAGGAACACCTACTTCTCTAACCAGAAACTGTTGATACAAATTTGATCCTTTTTGTGTGTGAGAATTAGCCAACAGCTTACTCTTTCTTCTTAATCACCTGATCTCTGGTCATTTTGGAAGTATTTTGAGTATCTACCCAGGGAAAGGGTAGAGAAAGATTTAAAAAATGTTTTAAACCTCAATAATTAATTTTTTATGTGTAGTTCTGAATTTTATTATTTTTTAACATTATAAGGTTGATGTGATAAGGATTTTTCCCTAAAGTACAACTGCCCTCTACCTGTCAAGAGATAAAAATTTTAGTCCCATCTACCAAGACATGGGCTTTATCAACCCAAGTAAGGGCAGTGCTGGTGTTGACCATGTCATGCCATACCTATGGCATTCTGACAATATAGGCACAAATTTCATCCCTTTCAAGTCATCACACACTTAACATTCAAAGGTTATTGGCAACACCTCTAAATTAACTTATACTTTGTCTATTTTCAGTTGATTAAGGGGAAAAATTACTTGGACCTATAGTTCAAAACATTCAGAAGGCTGCAAACAAGATACTACTGCTACTCAAATAAATAAAGGAAGCAAATCTATATAATTTGAGAGAATTAACTGAAGTCCAGTCATGTGTTTGTTTTTCCTGACTAGCATTTTCACTAGGATACCAAATATTTTTGAAATAAACAAAGATGATTTTATCCGCCAACACCATGTATTATATTTCTTTCTTACAATAAAGGTTATTATTGTCATTTCAATTTGAAGGCGGCAGGAAGTTGTGTTGAGTAGGTATGAGAGTTTCAGTGCTTATCATGGGTCAACTCGGCTTTTAGTTACAGTACCTTATAGACTACTACTACTGACATCTTTAGATAATTTCCAATACTTACCTATACTCTGAGATGCAAGCACCACAGTGGTTAAGTGTATATGGTTCTAAAGCCAGATCGCCTAGCTTCAAAAACTGGCCCAGCCACTTCCTGGCTAAGGGACCTAAACCAAGTGACTTCTCAGAATTCTCACCAAAAATGCTTACCAATACCTATATCTCAAAAAACTGCTCTAAAGACTTAATGAAGTTATATATATGTATGTATGTATGAAGTTATATAATGTATGGTTTTATATATGTTATATATATATTTCCCAGCAGATATTATAAGATGATGCTAAAAAATAATATTACCATTAGCCTTTTTACTCCTAGGAAGACAAGAAGCTAACCTTTTCGAGTCCCAATACAAGCTACTTTGGCAAAGTACTGCTAGGCAAAGTATTTTGAATGATAGCTTCATCATTAGTGGTAACTTTTTAGAACCTTTTACTGAGGTGGCTTCACTGCAACACCTTCTATTTAATGAACTATTTGAAATTCAGCATATACTCCCTTGTCCTCTGAATCTCTGCAGACAATGTCACTCTAAAATAGAGACAATATCCATGAGGAGCAGGGGATGAAGGATGACAACATTGTGTCACAGTGTATGGAGGGTGTGAGTACCCATAGATAGTACCCATGCAGAAAGGCAAAGGAGTCACTTGGTCTTCACATCCTTTACTCTTTAACTTTGCCTCCATGCCTACCTAGAGATAAAGGATAAAACACTGTCACACCCACTTCCTCATACTTGAGTCCTTAAAAAGGGTGAGAGATGGTAGCCATTTACATACAAGGAAGACCAAAACAGTGACTGCCATATGAACAAGATGCTGCCGTGACTATGCAGGCCCCATCTTCCTGGTGACTATCGGGGTCTGACTTAAGGATGGGAAGGGTGAGGAAGTAGTGGCTGCAGCAATAGGACATCAGAGTTGGGATTAGAGAGCTACATACATACAAGCTGGGGGTCAGTAAAGGTCTCAAAAGAAACAATCCAGAGGGTACATCAAAAAGGAGAAGAGGTGTCTTTCTAGCTCTTAATAGTTACAGGAATTTGTGAACCCAGACGATACACAACTAAAGGGTAAGTTGCAACTGATCAATAACCACAATCTGAGTCGTCTCTACAGAGGCTTAGTCAGTTCTCCAGATCCCCAGAGACAGTTTTGTGGATGCTATAATCCCTTGGCCCTGACAATGTGAAAGGGAGATCAGCCTCTCTAATGTTGGCTCCTCAAGGGAAAATATAAAAACAATGCTTAAACATTAGTATTTCTGAATATACCTCCAGGTTTACTTTGTATTGTCTGCATCCTATTCAATTTATAGTGACCACTTCTAGCAAGAAAAAATTATTCCCACCTATTGATGAATTTGCAGCACTTGTTATAGAGAAAGGGAAACTCGGGATGTTTGAGATCTGAGTGTCTACAGGATTTCTGGTAGGACTTTTGACAGGATTAAAACTGAATGGTGTATCTAATGTCTTAAAGAAACCAGGAAACAAATCTTTGGGTTTGTCATTTCCTTCTGGAGTCATAAGTCGTTCTATGGAGAAAAAGACAAGGATAGTTATCGTCAATAGACTTACAGGTTAAACACTATTAAAAGTTAAAAAAAAATACCCTTACTCCCCAGGATAGTTCAAGTAACTGACATTATAATGAATCACCATCCTGAAGTCCAAAATGATTCTATGATCTCATCTTTATTTCTCTTGGAAACTTTATCCTTTGCTAATCTTACCACCAAAGCTATGAATACCTGACTAAAACATGCAGTCTTAGGAACTCAGTTCTTTACAAGGATTTGTTATAACATGATCACAGTAGATTTCTAACATCGACTTAACTACATTAACAGTTAAATTTCCATTCACTAAAAGTGTTAGGGTTTTCTATTCCTTTAAGTATTTAGCATCTAAAAGATGGTTGAAAATGTTATAATTATTTTCCTAAAGAAAAAGGACAGTTATGTAGTTTGGAAGTGAATGATGTGCGCAACAAAACTGCCACAGTGGCCAAACTGTCAAAAAGGGTTTGGGGAAATATACCTACCTACCCCAACCACCACCAGCCCAGGAACATAGGAAGGACTGGGTCATGAGACTTTTATTTACCTTTAAGAAAAAGCATGCTTGTTTTGGGTAACTTAGGAGATATAGGAAAATCAAAAAGTTTTTGCTGAGATCGTTTGATGCATTTCTTTCTCAATAAGTCTTCTTTTTCTATTTTCAAAAAAATAAAGATGTCTGTTGAAACTAATATATGTGAGCATTTTTATGTCATTAGCATAGAGATTCTCTAAATTATTTATCTAATATAACTTCACCAACAATATGCCAATCATTTGATTCATCATATGTCTTTTTTAAAAGTTAAAGAAAAAATTTTGTTAGGATGGAAACACATATAACAAAATATGCACTTCAACATATGCTACATGTACAATTCAGAAACATTTTCTTCAAATTGTGCAACAATGCTCAGTATCTTTTAACAAATAGCACATCTTTATTTCATCCTATTAAATATTTCAGAAATAGCACATACAAGAGTTAGAGAGACTGTAATGACAAAGCACCAAAGTCAAATTTTATCTGGTTCAAAAGTTTGGCTGGGGAACAGGCAGACTGCTCAAATTCATCTGATGAGTAACCTTTAGCAATCCAGTTACGGACTCATATCTTACCATCAATTCAGAGAGCTATAACCAACCATTTAAGTTTCATTTTTAACCAGGAACTACAAAAGCAACCAGCAAAAATATATTTTAGTGCATGAGAATTCTAAAATCAAAGTTTATTTACATTCTAATGGGTAAAAAGGAACTGGTGATTTCATAATATATTTAATGATACAGACTTCTATTACTAAAGTATAGCTTTCTTGAGCAGTATATCTCAGAATCTTAACAAGACTGGAAGCTTTTATCTTTCACTTATGTTTTCATTATGAAAAGCTTACAAAGACAATGTATGGTCTACAATTTGGAGCTGATATAAATTATGCACTTAAAGAATTGATGCAAAATTATTTCCTCTAAGATACATAGTAAACCAAAGTAAGACTTGATCTGGACTGGGCTGGGATGTTTTAATAAACAATTACTCTTTAATATAAAGATCTCTATTACACATAAGTGTCTCTGGATTTGTATCTCTAGTTAACCAGACTGGCACAAGAACCACCTCATGTTTTAATAGTTTTGTTTAATAAAGTGATCTATGATTTTGTGGCTATATTTTGTGATGTACCTTAATACAGGAAGACGTTTGACTTAAGTTATACCAAGCATAAATAATATCAAAATGTGAGGTTCTTGTTTCTTGACACACCCTCCCATCTAACTTTATACACTTCTGAAAGTGGTGTTTCTAACTATCTAGCTCAAGGGTGGGGAAAATATTTTATGCCATGGACCATATGGCTATATGTAACATCATTCATGAGTCATACTGGTCAAACATTTAATTAATTCACCCATAATTTGATGGTAAGAGCCCTGGTGGCTAAGTATTTATGCATTGGGCTTGTAACCACCAGTTGCTCCGAGGAAGAAAGATGAAGCTCTCTATTTCCCCTAAGAGTTAATCTCAAAAACCCCTGGGGACAGTTCTACCCTGTCCTACCTGGTCACTATGAGTTAGCATCAACTTGATGGCAGTAACCACTTCTCTTTGGTGAAACATGTAATGTCACCTGGTACTGATGAATTTTGCCCACTGTACATAGCCTGAGGGCTAGACCTACCCCACTCCTGATCTAGCCCTTCCTTAATGAATTCTATGTTCTTCAATGTATTCCATGTCAAAAGAGCAGTTTGGGACCTCTGGGACACTCAAATTGTGTTCCTTTTTCATGTTGAGTTTGAAGAACAAAATGTCTAAAGTGGAAAGTTTAGGGCTATAGGGTTAACGGGGGTAAGGCTTCCTAATGAAATTCTCATAGTACACAGTCCTTTCTACCCTCAAAGAATGAGCAGGGGCAGTGTCCTGACGAACTCATAGAAGTTTAGTACTTTTATGCATGGGCACACAAAAACAAAAACTCACTACAACTGAGTCAATTATGTCTCATAGCGACCATATAGGACAGGGTAGTACTGCGCCTGTAAGTTTCTGAGTTTGTAACTCTTTACAGGAATAGAAAGCCCATCTTTCTCAGGCGAAGCAGCTAGTGGTTTGAACTGACCTTGTGGTTAGCAGCCCAACAGGTAACAACTATGCCACCAGGGCTTCTGTCCCTGGGCAAACAGCTAGTTAATGGAAGAACTCAGATTAAGATTTAGGGATGTTAGACTTCATGCTCTTTCAGTAGATTATATTCTGACATACTCCAGCTGTAAGCTCTCTATCCCACTGCCTCGTTATTAAGAATCTGGTAGTGTGGTAGCTAAGTGCTTGGCTGAAAACTAAAAAGCCCATCATTGAATCCACCATCTGCTCCCTGGGGAAAATGTGTGGTAGTCTGCTTCTGTAAAGAGTATAGCCCTGCAAACCCTAAGGGATGGTTCTACTCTGTGCTATAGGGTCATTGTGAGCCATAATTGACTCAAAGGCAATGGGTGATTCAACTAGTGTGTGCTTTGGGTAGGATGTCATGGCATCAAATCTCCTTTTTCAAAAGGGTTCACTGGGCAGAGCTATCTTCCCTTCACTCACTCTCACTGCCATCCAGTAGATCCCAACGCATAGTGGCCCTACAGAACAGAGCAGAACTGCCACTGTGAGTTTCAAAGGCTGTAAATATTTGCAGGATCAGAAAACCTCATCTTTCTCGCGCAAGGTACAAAAAACTACCTGCAAAGAAGATTCCAGGCAGAAGACTGCTATACTAAACTAGAGAAGGGGTTAATAAAATTTGGAAGCATAGAGCAAAGGGAATAGATAAAAGACTTCATGTAAAGTAGAAGAGACAGTTTGTGGGGAAAGTAAAGGTAACAGGGAAGAAGTCTAGAGAAAAAGGAGTAATAATCTGTGTACTATGGGAGAATTTCATTGGGAAACCTTACCACAGTTGCCCTACAAGCCCAATCTTTCCCCTTTAGACACTTGAGAACATTAACTACTTTTCAAAGACCCAAATAAAATCATACCACGATTAATAGACCTTCATGAATCAGATGGAACTTGGATAAACCTGTCTCAAAGAACTTTGGGAAAAAACAAAGAAGCAAACCTCATAATGCAAAAGTTTTCTTGTTTCAAAGACCAGAAGACAGCAGACTTTGGTTCTGCAGGACTACCCTACACACTCTTATTCAGCTATCAGTCTTGTGGAAGAGATTAGATCATAATTCAAATATTAACTTCAAGTTTATCACTATTTTCTCTGCAACAAAAATCTCTACTGTTATACGATTATAAAGCTCAGTAACTTTGAATCTATATTCCAATCTAATAAAAAATAAAACTCTGTGATCAAATCACAAAGAAATCAAACAATTTATTGGTTTTGATTAGTTATGGATACAATTAGAAATTACTTTCCCATTCTGAATGAACAGAAACTACCACATATTATAAACTTCTAATTAGTTCATTATGACTAAACTGGTTATGGAGGGGAGGACACAAGGGAGAACTCTGAATTAAACAAGATCCTCAAGTTATAAGATGTAATTTAAAACAGACACACAGTATAAAAAGTTATCTTCTCTCACCTGAATCATTATCATGCTCCTCAGGGCTATGAGTATTACTCCTGTAAGAGCTAAAAGGCTGGCTACTCAAAAGGTTATCACACTGTAGGCTCTGGCAGAAGGTCTCAAGAAAGCGAAGAACAAATGATGCACTGTTTACTGGAGGGAGCTGGACAAAATGACTTTCCCCATCAAACCAGGCTATTGGGGGGTGGGGGGGAAGACATGAAACTCAACTCAGAAAGGTGAGGCATACAACACTAACAAAAAAACCATCGAGTTAAGAACAGTAAAAAAAAAAAGTCTAATTAGTGGTTTTGGCAATTCATAAAGGAATAATCCTAAATTATAGAAGAACCTCTCAGACACAATATAGCCTGTGTTGGTAAATGTGTTCTCATTTTAAAATAGCTTTGAAGAAAACAACATCAGAAACTCACTGATCTAGAGTAACACTTCTTTTTATTCTAATTCTATACATACAAATGTTATGTCTGATCACATAATCGTGGAAATCAGCTTTACCCTAACTTTTAATGACTTCTTGGGTCAGTTTTATAGGTTCTTATAAATCAATCTATTGTGTATAAAAATAAAAATTATCAATCAACATTTTTTTATAATTATGTCAATGCAGTATGTAGAAGGAAAAAATCTATACCCTTTGCTTCAATTTACAGTACTATGACACTGTTTATTTTGAAAGTAAAATTAAACATTCCAGATGTGTTAAAATTCTACATATCTAAGATGCTAACATTATAAACATTATAGTCATATATACTAAAGAGACCTTGCCCTTTCGACACCTAAAATCAATTATGGATAAGAAGTTTAATAGAAGATTAGATGACTGTACCAGTTATCACTTCTCCTCCACGATGATCAGGCTTAAGGAACCCAAAAACAGTCTTGGTTTGAATGGCGCAATCTACACACGCCTGCACAGTACGCTGGAGCACAATATTCACGGGGCCAGGGCCAAAGTGATCTGGCAGTTGCTGGATTTTTCTCTGATCCAGGTGAGGGCCAGGATTTCCATGTTTATTGACATACACACAGACTTGGGTAAAATGTGTACAACAAAAAGATCGGTTTAAACGAACTTTATGAAAACACTACCTAATCAATTACTAAGTCACACTAGACAATTCCCTCAAAGAACACCTAAATCATAATTACTATCAATGATCATTTCTGCTTCTTAAAATATGTATGTAAAAATGTTTTTACATTTCAGTAAAGATATTAAACAAATAATCAAAATACTAATCCAATTTTCTAAAAAAAAAAGTCCAAAATATATCATACCCCAAACTTATAGTATCACATTCCAATTTTGCATACATTCCCACATTATATAAAATGGAAAATAATAGAACAATATTTCATCTTTAAATTGTACACTATGAGAATTTTCCTTGAAAACTAGTATGCTTATACATTTACTTTTGGAGTGAATTTATTTTAAATTTCCAATGCTATTCCTTAATTATATTTTCTTAATTAACAAAATAATTTAAGGTATATGTTATAATGTGTGCTAAGGACATAGAAATTAATTTCATTAATTTTAAGGGAAAATGTTCCTTCTATACATGCTGAGGTTCACTGAGAAAAAAAACTTTTCCTTAATAATGAAAATTTATTATACTATAATTCAGCTATAATCATATAAATGTCACATTTCAATATTTTTTCCATTGAGAAAAGCAAATCAACATATAATGTAATGACATGTGGGTACATTATTAGAAGACATTCAACATGCAACCAGTAGTGCTGACAGCATGAACAAAATTCTACTGAACCTAAGGGAATCTAAACAAGAATTTCAATGCTTTATCTCTCTTGCATTTTACATTATTAAGCTAGTGTACCCTAACGGATTAAAAATCAGAAATAATATTCATACACTGACAAAATAAGATGTTACAGTACTCATTTTTCTTTTAAGTAAATTTTACTTCAAAGCAAATTCTAATTTCTTTTTCAGGCAGGAAAGAAAAGTTTGGAACGAACATCTAAGGAACAGAAGAGCTTAAAGGTGACAAGGATCTAGGAAAGGAAGCAATAAAGCATGCTTTAAAACAGGAAAATATGCAAAGAATGACAAATAAAAGGGATTTGTCTGAGTTTGTGTTTCATACTTTTCACATAGAGAACAATTTCAAGTCATCATGCCCACTGATATACAAAGAGCTGTCAAAAAGGATAATTTTTTAATGCATTAAGAGTTTGTAGAAACTTTAAAAGCACATGCATGCGATACAAAAAGATGAAAGTATTGTGAAATGAGATAACAAGGGAAAACAAACATAGATTTGACAGTTATGTAAAATTCTATAGCTCTTACTAGAGTAGATGAAATGCTTTGTGGGTACTGACTTTTCAAGTGATGTGTATTTGAACAAGCATTTCAATATAACTATAATATAAAATATGAATATATACTTAAAAAATAATCAAACTGTTAATAAACCTTTCACCTAATTTAGAGTAAATAGTTTTTTTAAAAAACAATTAACTACAGATTCAGGTATAAGGTCAAATTTTAGGTTTCAAAGATTTGAAAATTAAGAAAGGTAGAAAGAAGTGAGATTATAATATGCAAATAAAGTGTTGGAAGGATAGGAATTTCTGGTGGCTATAAGTTCTTGGTATCAAAGCTTATTAAATAGAAATAGTGAAAGTACTTGACTTTTGGTGATGTTTGATGTAAGCTAGAGTTTAAGAGGGAAAGGTTATGACATTTAATGGATTTTATATAGGACATTGAAATCCCAAAGAAAATTGCAAGACATGACACAAAGGGACATAATCTAGTGCCAATATTTTCACTATACATACATACATATACATGTGTGTACATACATACATGTGTGTACATATATATATACATATATTCATAAAATTAGTTGATGGCAACTAAAATAAAGGGCAGAGTAATTAACCTCAAAGATATAATTATAATAGCTAACATTAGTTGAGCATTATTATATACTCATTTCAGTTAATGCTCATTATGACATTTTATAATCACAACATGCTATTAATAGATGTGGAGCACACAGTTTATTTAAGTGGCTTACTCAGCATCATTCACAGTAAGTGATACCATGAGCCTGTAATCTGGCCAGGGGTTTTGATAAATCACTATGTTTAACCACAATTCACTATCCCGCCACCCTTTTGTTTCAAGAGGAGCAAAAATTTCACTCCCACAGATGGAGGAATCATGGTTTTGAAATATTAACTTAGGAACCAGTAGAACAAACAGTGAGATGATTCACCAAATTTGTCTCAGCATTTAATAAAATATTAACGACTTAAAACTCAAATTTTTAGGTACTGCCATCAAGGTTGTGATTTCATACTTTTTGTTAGAGACAACAGCTCTTTGAGCAAATCTTCCTGTAGGAGATTTGAAGTTATTTAAGCCCTCAGGTATATATATTTTTTAAAAATCAGCAATTTTACAATCTTTAAAAATGTATGAATTTACCTGTAGACATCACTATTTTGGAGGTCCCGGGAAAGATATCCTTATCATGTGGAAAGCTATAGTTACTGGCATCAAAATTTACATCAGTTTCAGATGTTGAACACAAAATAGAAATATTGTTTTCCTGTATAAAGTTGGAGGGAGGGGATACATTATCCTTCTAAAAATTCCTAGATAAGTCAGAAAATTACTTGCATAAAATTTTAAGTTATCAGCAGCCTTCAGAGTTGACAGTCTCTTTGTCATGTATTAGAGTACTTACCAAAGGGCACTCTGCAGTGGCCCAGGTGATCTAGCTAAGTCAGTGGAGAAAGAACAGAGGGCTAGGACTTCCAGCCCTACTCCCTGCTTCAAGGGGATCGAACCTCAAACAAAATAGTTAATTGTGCAAAACTTCTATGTTGAGGTTCCCTGCAAGAGTATTTTTTGCACTGTTAAAGAAAATCTGTAAATCCCTACTCCATAGCAACACACCAAATGGCAAGACAAAAACAATGCAGAAGGGCTTTCCTTCAGCAAGCACTCTTCACTGTTAAGGAGCCTGCAAGTCTCCATATTGTATATATACAAATTTTGACATTTTAAATGGTCTGTTGAGGTCCATACAAAATTATGCTTGTTTCATAAAATAACCAAGTGTCTTCCAGACACTAGTGATTTGTTTACTGTATACCAATTCATGGGGGGTTCTGAGAGGTACCTTTACACAACTTTTCAATCTTACAAGAGGGGCTCTGGTGTCTAGAAAAAGTGCTAATAGAGAACATGTAAAAGGCAGGACAAAAGAGAAAATATTAGGGTACTATTCTATGTTGTTTAATTTTTCTTTTTTAAAACTAATGAATGTCATTTCACAGCATTCCAATAAGTCTTGTGTTATATTAAAGAGTCAAATTAAAATTATTGTGTTGCTATAATCTTGGTATTTTAGTATTTTAAAAATCTGAATCTTCTGAGTTGGGACATACCAAGACAGTGTCTGTATTAGCTGCGCAAATTAAACAAAGGGAACATTTACTTCGAAAAATATTTAAAAGGAACATGAGTTGAGTCCTTCAAAGACGTCATTTTGGTGTGATGTAAAAATCAAAGCATTGAAGAATTCTTCAGAGAAGGGATAAGGGCATGGAAACAATGCTTCCAAAAGTGTATAGAGGTGAATAGAGGATATGTGTGCAAACACGAGCTTTACATTTTGATTATTTTTAATCTAATGCAGGTTTGTAAGAGGGAGCTTCAGTAAATTTGTTGAAAAATCTCATTATTTCTGCTCCCACTAAGAAAAAAATACAATGTTTTTAAAAAGATCTCTTTAAAGTTGTCAAAATAGTACTTAAAAAGTTATTAGAAAATAAAGGAACAAAAATAAATTATTTGAAATTATCTGTTCACCATTAGACTAATTAATCAAAGAGATTTTCTCTAGGCACTGAAAAGCCTGCATTAAATATATATCAGTGATACTTCTAATGCATCTTTTGGGTCTTAAAATGCATTTTAAATATCATATATTTCTTTTTTTCCCATATATTTCATTTTTAAGTTCCATTATTAGCATCTCTTTTTAGAAAATTTAAATGTTTTAACATAAAAGAAACAATATAAGCATTTTTAATTTGAAAAGAAATGGTTTGTCGTGTTGCTTCACATTGCACACAATAGCTGAAACAGAAATAATGTATTCATTCATATCCAGAAGCAAGGATGGTGAGACTTTGTCTGACCTACTCTGGACATGTTGTCTTGAGACCGGTCTCTGGAGAAGGATATAATGCTTGGTGAAGTACAGAGGCCAAGGAAAAAGAGGAAGGTCCTTGACAAGAAGGACGGCCATAGTGGCTGCAACAATGGGCTCACATGTACTAACAATTGTGATGCTGGTACAGGACTGGGAAGTGTTTCTTTCTGTTGTACATAGGGTTGCTCTAAGTCTGAACTGACTCCAGGGCACCTAACAACAACAAAAGGTCCCGGGGTACTATTTGTTTTCTTTTTTAATTTTTTCGTTTTTTCAATGGTCTCAGTTCTTCACCTTGGGTAATACTTATTCTTCTATCCTCAGGTTTATTTACTCTTTCCTCTGTCAACTCTACCAATTAATTCTGTTCAATGAAAATTTATTTTAGATATTGCATTTTTCAGTTTCTAAATTTCTATTCTAGTTATTTTTATCTTTTTTGTTTCTCTGCTAAGATGGTCTACCTCTCGTGTACTTTTAAAATCAATGTAAAAAAACCCAATAGCCACTTAAAAAATTCTTATTTGCGAAGTCTTAACATCAGGGTCATCTGAAGGTTCTATCTTAATTGACTTTCTCCTTCCAGTTTTAAATTTTCTTTAAGAATATGTTTCTCTTACTATGCTTGCATGCCAGGTAATTTTGGATTGTACCTCAGACATCGTGAATGCTAATTAGTGGAGATTCTGAACTCTTTATTTTTCTAATAAATACTTCTTTTATTTTAGTAGCTTAACTATTTTGGTTGCAGTTGAACTTCAATTTCTGATCTGGGGAATCGCTCCAGCCTTAGCTCAGCTCTTCCCTCTATTTAGTTAGGCCAACCAGTATGCTTCTGGGCAACCTTGGATCAGGAGTCTGTCATAGATGTTAGTAGACAGAATTTGGGATCCCTTTTCTGGCTCTTTCCCTTCTAAGACTAGATACTATTCTCTTTAGCAGTCACAGTTTTCCTGGCTTCACTTTTCTAATCCCTCCACCCCACACCACCACCACAGACTCTAATTTTTCCACTAATACTGTAATGAGTCTCATGCTATATGGGGTGAATGTGACCTGAGGCTAAAAGCTTCAAAAAACAGAGAGTCACTTTACACAACCCCCCTCCCTCCTAGTATATGCTCTTATCAAGGTATGTCTGCTTCTGTTCACTCTTCATTGACTTTAGTGGTAGTTGCTTTTCATATTATTTCCAAGCTTTAGAGTTGTTTTCAGTGAGATGGGATCTGATTTCAGCATAACCAAATCATATAGATTTGTCCCCTGACCTACTGAGGTATAATATGCATACAGAAAATTCAATTCATATCGATCTTTAAAGCACACAGAGTTTTAAATTAACTGAATATAAAAATATCTATGCATTGCTTATATTGGTTTTGAATAAGTATAACACTATTAAAAATTTAAGTTTGTTCATAAGAAATACCAATCTCAATACCGGAGGAGCTATAAAGAGCCCATTTCTACATTCCTAAAGGGTCTCGTCTCATCCTCCTCTTACAAAATTTCTAAACTGTGTGTTAAAATAAGGCACTATAAAAGGACATAAAATACAAATTAGAGAGTAGGAGATAACACAAACCTTTTGAGTTTTTTTCTTTGATGTGTAATTTTTAAGAGAATTGCCCTTCTTGGAGACTGTCATCTGTGCAAGTGACTTAGTCCGAGTTTTCTTAGTCTGTTGAATTGATTCTGGTTCAGTTTTCTGTGGACACTGCATTGAATGTTGGTACACTTTGTAAAGGAAAGATTAAATTTTTGTTATATTATTTTTAATGGAAACAAATTAATGGAAATTCCATAATTAAGGCATTGTGGTCTTATTACGCAAAAGAAATTCAAACCCAAGTTTTGAAAACATTCCTACAGGCTACTCAAATTAAATCAAAGTGTTAAGATTTCATATTGTTAAAAGTAAAGGTCTAACTCTACACACACAAACACAAAATAAAGATTCATTTAAGAACCAGTAACTTCAAACCTAGCACAGTGAAAAATTTTAGCAGTTTACTTTTTGCCTGCTTCCCATAGTTTTAGTCCGTAGGACAGAAAAGTCTTTCCTTCAGACCACTATCCAGTAATGCCTTATTCAGAAACTTTTTACCAATCCATGTAGAAAAAAGGCCAAGGGGATTCCCTGCTCTTTATTTTTAATGGCTAATACTACATTACTATCAGTATGTCCAATAATACAGATGTATATTCTACAATATAGACTATACATTTATGTTATGGAAAGACCACCGCACTCAAGCGATTTGGTTATACTAATTGTCTAATAGTTCAATCCAGATAGTTTTAATATTTCAAAAGGTTACTGTCTCCTGGCCAGGCTACTTTTATCCATTTCACCATTAAGTAATAATATTTTTTAAATTCTTAATTCTCTAACGCATTACAAAAATAAATTTTACATACTATAAGGTACTAATCTAATGTTACATAAAAACTTTTATAGGCAGAGTTGTATAACTTAAGCCATTTATAGTTCTATGTAAAAAGCCCAACTAATTGTATTGTGAAGACTTCCTTTTACAACTTGAAATCAATCTAGTACTTTGCTCCTTCCATACTCAAAGCCAAATGTGTAAATATGACATTTACTGGATAATAACTCTCTCTGCAGTCTTATTTGTCTTCTATAGCTTAACAAATCAAGAGGAGGGCCAGCTTACTCCCAAGTTTCCAGGGCAAACTGAGGACCATTTAACTGCCTAGATCACTTTCCTCCTCACATATTTTAATTTACCTTCTTATACTAGTGGAAGTAGCCCTGGTAGTAGTGATTACTCATTGGGCTACAATCCGCATGGTCAGCAGTTGAAATCGCCAGCAGCAACTCTTAAGACTTGGTTTCCTACTCTTGTAAAAAGTCTCTGAAACCCACAAGGGGTCACTATTAGCCAGCAATGACTTAATAGCAGTGAGTTTGGCAATTCTAGTAGAAGCTCATTATCAGCAGCCAAAATGAGGCTAGGGGCTGAATATAGATAGAACCACCACCAATTGCTCACATGCAAGTTCAGAATGAAGATGAAGAAAATGAAAACAAGTCCATGAAAGCCAAATATGACTTTAAGTCTATCCCACCTGAATGTGGAGTGAATCTCAAGAACAGATTTGACATATTTAAGACCAATGACAGAAAAACTGATGAGCTGTGGGACAGCATCACGAGCATCATACACAAAGAAAAAGGTTATTAAAGAGAGGAAAAGAAAAAAAAGATCAAACCAGATGTCAGAAGACCACCCAAAACTTGTTCTTGAACATATGAGTAACAAAAACAAGTGAAAAAAGAAAACAAATAAAAGAACAGAATAGAAAACTTCAAAGGGCAGCTCCAAAAAATAAAGTATTATAAAGAAGCATGTAAAGACCTGGGGTTAGAAAATCAAAATAGAAGAACAAAGGCCATGGAAAAAGAGGAAGACTCTCAAGAAGATGGGTTGACACAATGGCTTTGATGATTGGCTCAAACGTAAAAATACGTGAAGATACTTGGGCAGTTATCTGGGTAGTGTTTCATTCTGTGGGACATAAGAGTTGCTATGAGATGGAAACGACTTGATAGCAAATAATTAAAGGGTCCAGCAGTAACTCTATGGTTCTCAGCTATAGCCAGCGTCTCTAACCCCTTCTCCATCCCCACCGAGCATAATGTGACATATCTCGCCTTTTCAAAACCTCTCATAGAAACCTTCCCCACTCTCTTCACTGGTCTGCTGGTGCCACAGCCCATGGGGGGAAGGGGGAGCACAGGCTCCTTTTAGATAAAATAATTTATTTCTGTCCTTAAAGTTTATTAACACGGGATTCCTTTGTTCGCTTTTTCTTTCTTCACTTTCTCATGTGGCCACACGTTCCTCTGTCTCTTCTTCACTCTAGCTCTCCCTTACTTTCAACCAAAAGTAAGTAAAGAAAGGCTATTCTCTCTACTCTGTCTTCCAATCTCCCCTCACCCGGCCCCTTTACTCTCATTCCATTCGGTTAATGACACCCAGGCAGGTCGTTAGCTCAAATAAAACCTGTTAATTAAAACCCATGCTCTGACTCTGCTTTCCTTTTATTCCCGTTCTAACACAACACACTACTCTTAACTTTATCATCATCTTCCTCACACTAATCTTTTACTTCATATTGACTGACCATGTGTTACATTCCAATGATAACATCTCATCACAAGTGCAGGGCAGTTAATTATTTAATGTGGTCCTAATCAAAGTTTCTAACTCTGATCAAATGACCTTTCCCTGTATGATTCTGGTAAAAAGGTGGGGAAAGATACACTGATAGGATTCACAAATTACTGATATGCTAACATCTTACTTAACTCATGAGCCCAGTGCACGAAGCCCTGCACTATCTGCCCTCTGCTTATCTTCACAGCCTCATGTCTTCTCTCCCTAAAATGTCACTATGGATTCGGCTATAATCATCTGCTTTAAGTCCCCACATTTTCTGAACCATTATGCCTTTTGGCAGAGGCTGATTCTTGTTCCAGGAAAGGTCTCCCTCTACCTTGTCAATTGTTAAACTGCTGCGTATTTTCTTTTTTATAATTGAAACTTTAATTACCAACTCTGTAAAATTCTAGCACTAAGCTCTCCAGTACCACATGAGATCCTTGATGCTTACACAGCACACGTGGACTATGTTTATCTCTACTGGCCTGAGTCTTATATAGCACCTTGTTTTACTAGTATACCTCTGTCCAACCGCACTTTTGAGTTCCCCTAGGGAATCATGTTAAGTTCCATTGTTTAATGGCTTTAACACCTAGTCTGGGGCCAGACACATATATGTACATCCATGAAAAGTTTGTTGAAATGATGAATGTTTAATATTTGACTTTTGTTTCTGATTTTATATCAGATATCAGTGTTTCACAAAGTGGGTAATACTGTGGATTACAGTTGGAGTGTTGGCATGTTGGAAGGAATCGGCAAAAGCAGCATACTAACTACACTTCATCATGGATATTGGGCTATAGTACGAAAGTTTTTAATTGCCAGGAGAGCTCTGAGTAACTTTTGTTTTCCCTGAAAAGGGGGAAGTAGGCCAAACTAAGTCTGGGAGAATCAATGTCATATTATCATATGCATCAACATATGCATTAAATAAACAACTATGGTTTGAACACACATTTTATAATTTTTCTTGGCAAAAATGTGCTTCAAATGCTAATTAGCCATCTTAAAAATTAACTTCAACTTAAAATAGGAAGGAGTGTCAATAAAAACCACAATAAGAAACAGCTTCACACCACTCTAATTATTAGAACTGAGTAAGACGAGCCCAAATTAATACAATTCTGTGTACATGGAAGAAAATACAGCATGTGTTAAGATGCCCTCAACTGGTTTCAATAACTGTTGGAAATTAGTGGACCATTTCAGATTTTTAGATGAAAATGTCCTAAGGCTTTACCATTCAAGGAGCCCTGGTGACACAGTTATTGAAGTGCTTAGAGGAAGCAAGAATGAAAAGACTTTTACTTATTTTGGACACATCACAGATAAAGGCAGGTCAATAGAAAAAGACAACATTAGTAAAGTACAGGATAAATGAAATTGAGAAGCAATTCATGAAATGGACATGGTTGCTGCAATAATGGGTTCAAATGGACCAAGAACTGGGAGGATGGTAAAGGACCAGACAGTGTTTCATTCTGTTATACTGAAGGTCACCATGAGTCAGCACCGTTCGATGAAATAAAATAACAAGAATTCGATGATAACAATCAACAATAAGAATTCCTGGGTAGTACAGTTATGTACTTAGCCATTAATTAAAAGATGCGAGGCTCAAATTCATGCAGCAGTGCCTCAGAAGCAGGGCCTGGCAATCTGCTTTCACAGAGAATATAGTCCAGAAAAATCTCATGGAGTGGTTTTACTCTCTAACAACACATGGAGGTCACCATGAATCAGAATTGACTCTAGCTCAACAGCAAGAGACATTTGCCCACTTGCTCACTGTCAGAGGCACGGTATCAACCCTCCATTCATAGTAGCAGGTATATACTCTTGTCCTGGTCAGGTCACATCTCCCCTGTTCCATCCTACCTTAATCTTGTCTCCCACAGATCTCTGCTCACTCCCTTCTCTGTATCATCAATTAATGACTTTTAATAAAATACCGTGTTTCACTCTACTTCCTACTTTGCTAGGTGGCTAAAAACAAGCACAACGCCCCCCCCCATCATTTCACACCCCCACATTCATTTTTAAAGGTTTGTGTTAAAACTAATTGCTACAAGGAAAAGAGGTGGCAGTTATTAGAGGAGTTACAAAGAGAAACGGTCTTCAATTTTTAGTAGTGTCTGTCCCCAGTTTTCAAGGAAATGGGACCCATCTTTCCACATTTTAACCCTTGTTCCACCTTGCACTAAGTTCTCCTTTTCAACTTGAGGCTAGCCCAGTTCCCTGCTTGTTTACCAAGCAGAAACAATTAGCATGTCCAGAGTCTAATAGTGGCCAAGCCCAGACTTCTGCCCTTAGCTCTTCCATTGGCTTTCTGGAGTTTCTTTGATGACCCACATAGGGCTTCCTTCTCAACACCAAGAATCCCAGTGCTTTAATATTAAAAATACCTTAAACGTGTACTGAAAGGTACCTTCCACACTAAAAGAAATAAATCTCTGGAAAATAACACATTTCATTTACACTCACTTGCTGTTGGGGTCTGAGAGAGCACTTCCATTAAGAAGTGCTGCCTTTGCCTTTTCTAGC